AATAATAATAATAATAATATATATATATATATATATATATATATATATATATATATATATATATATTGTTATATTAAATATATGCATGATAAAATGATAATGAAATTTATCCTTGTAAAGTAGAGATATCCATATTTATTACATACGGTATTGTAAACGGATATACCTACGTGTTATATCCAATTTAACGTAGCTATACGTACCTATATATTCACGTATGTTTCAGCATCTCAATTTCGATTCCCAATACGTCAATAAAGGGGTTACGTACAAGCACACGGTAATCGAAATGGACTCCAACCCGATCAGAACCGCATTGAGCGTTTGCAAATCTCTAATAGCTGAGCAGGTGTACGCGGTGGTTGTGTCGCATCCCCTTACCGGCGACTTATCGCCGGCCGCAGTTTCGTACACCAGCGGTTTCTATCACATACCTGTGATTGGCATATCGTCCAGAGACTCTGCCTTCTCAGACAAAGTACGTAGGACAGCCAAAGAGATAATTTGTGATATTTAATAACCAATGCGATAAATTATAATACAGAACAAAGACAAGACACTAAGATTTTTGGCAGAATAATTAAAAGTGTAGAATTTTTTTGCATATAAAAAATATTCTCAGGAAACTTTATAAAAAAATTGGAAAATTAAATATATATAAAATTATTTTTGACTTACTTTGTACATTTATTCGATAACGCCTGATTCATGTCTGATTGATGTCATGATCATTAATCTTTCATATTGATGTCTGCAGAATATCCACGTTTCATTTTTGCGCACTGTACCGCCGTATTCGCATCAAGCGGACGTCTGGGTGGAATTGTTGAAACACTTCAACTACATGAAGATCATCTTCATCCACAGCTCTGACACGGATGGTCGCGCACTCCTCGGTCGTTTCCAGACAACGTCGCAAAACCTGGAGGATGATGTAGAAATTAAAGTGCATGTGTGTAGCATATTAATTTGTATACTCGTTGCATTTTATTATTAATCTATATTTATTAGAGTATCTTTTATATAAGTAAAGAATATAGTACAAATTATTATACTACTAGATTAATTATTTTAGGTTGAAATAGTTATCGAATTTGAACCCGGATTGGACAACTTTGTGGACCAATTGACGGAGATGAAAAGTGCACAGGCGAGAGTTTGCCTTATGTATGCTTCGTAAGTATCCTCCATGATTCACGCATTTAAAAAACTATGATTTTAAAATGAAATATCGTATAATAAACACTTCAGTCATAATTCTGTATTTTAATTTCTAGTTATTTAATTTTAAACATAAACTTAATGGCGATAGACTTTAGTTGCAGAGATATTTAAATAAACTTGTCAATGTTTGTGACCTTGAAATAGGAAAACGGATGCGAGAGTGATCTTCAGGGACGCTGCCGCTATGAACATGACCGGCGCTGGTTACGTATGGATCGTTACCGAGCAAGCGTTGGATGCTCCGAATGTGCCGGAGGGTTTATTGGGATTAAAGTTAATCAACGCCACCCAAGAGAAATCGCATATCACTGACAGTTTGTTAGTATTTCAATTTAAAGCGGATCTTACATTTCAAAAATTTTGAATAATTTATAAATGTATATTTTTTCTGTTTTTTTTTACAGATATGTACTTGTATCGGCATTACGAGCGATGAATCAAACGGAAAAGATTACCGAGGCACCGAAAGATTGCAGCGATTCCGGTTCCATATGGGAGACTGGCAGAAGTCTTTTCCAGTACGTCACGTTTTCTCTTTAAGGGAATCCTGGAGTCATCTGTTTTACCTGAGTCATTTCTTTTAAAAACATACGTTTTTTTGGCTGTGTAGAATGAAAAATCCTTTTCTGTAATTAAAGTACGTATGCTAATACAGTCTGGACGGTCGATTTGAAAGGATTTTTCATTCCATGCAGCCAAAAAAAAAAGAATTTTACGAAAAATAGAAGGTAAAATAGGCCAACTGATCTGTTGGATAGTAGTTTAATTACAGAAAAAGATTTTTCATTCTACACAGCCAAAAAAACGTGTAGTGTTTTTAAAAGAAATCGGTAAAACAGACGACTCTAGAATCCCCTTAACTTTCCAAATCAAATGTTTAACTGTCTAAAAAATTTTAAACTTAATAAATCTTCCACAAATTTTTTGTAACCAGAGTTCTCGCTATTGTCACATTATTATTATTTCTTTCAACCGTTTAATTAGGTACATTCGTAAAGAAGTGTTGCCGTATGGCATGACAGGTCGTGTGGCATTTGACGATAATGGTGATCGCATATTCGCCGAGTATGACATAATGAACATCCAATACACAGGTCCTGACAATAAGACACAAGTGTCCGTCGGTCAATACTTTTACCCCACTGTGAGTAGATAATTCATACAATCGATTTCCGCGTAGCGTACAATAACTATAGAACACTTTAGCTCCAATCTATTTGAAATAATAAGAAACGTTTGTACAATGCCGAATATTAATTACAGATATATCTAACAGATTGTATTTAAAAAAAATACGTCACACATATTGTCTATTAGGTAACAAAATAACTTTTTAAAATGTAATATTACGGTAGAACGGTACCAAGATGAAATTGCGAGTGAACGAGTCCAACATCATATGGCCGGGTCGTTTAAACACCAAACCCGAAGGCTTCATGATACCAACGCATCTAAAGGTGTTGACGGTCGAGGAGAAACCGTTCGTTTACGTCCGCGAGCTGGCCGACGGCGAGACTAAATGTTTGCCCGAGGAGATCGCATGCCCCCACTTTAACACGACTGAAAACGAGAGTACGTTGTTATTAATCAGGATAACGAGTATAGTTTGATGACAAATTGTCAATATCTGAATTCGACTGTTGGCTGTTTCCGCTAAAAAAACATTGACGCCAAATCGATAACAGAAAACGTTCTACAAAGTTTTTATTTTTTGCAAAATATAATATTAAATTAATATTTTTACTTACAGACACGCGGATGTTTTGTTGCAAAGGATACTGCATGGATTTACTGAAAGAACTATCGAAGATGATTAATTTTACGTACAACTTGGCACTGTCGCCCGACGGTCAATTTGGCAGCTATATGAGAAACACTTCAGGTAAGCGATAAAATAGAAGTATGTATTCAAGAAATATTGTGTTTAATCTTTCTCCTTTTTTTTTTGACAATATATTAAAGTTGCGGGAAAGAAAGAATGGACCGGTCTTATTGGCGAGATAGTAAGCGAACGGGCTGATATGATTGTCGCGCCATTAACAATCAACCCCGAACGCGCTGAGTTCATTGAGTTCAGCAAGCCGTTCAAATATCAAGGCATCACTATTCTTGAGAAGAAGGTGAGTGTCTTTCTTTTAAATTATGACTTTTTTAGACTAACAAAACTTGGTGAAAAACACTCTATGATTGTTTAAACAAAAAATTAAAAAGAGAAATGTGTTTTTAATACTTTTTAAAATTTATTACACTTAAATATACATATTTTTTGAGCTGTTTTATAATAAAAATAATAACATTTTTTATTTTGTATATAAAAATAAACACAATTAAAGAGAAATAGCGTTTTTTATATACAAAATATTTAAATTTATTTATTCAGTTATAATAAGTTATTTAAGCTTAACTGCAAAACATGGCTGTTCACACAATGTGATGATTCTTTGAAGCCTTATAATATCATACACATGTCGTACAAGCAATCGTGCTTTGTAATTCTAAGAAGCTTCATCAATATTATTTTTATTTATTAAAAATAAAAACGTATATTAAGGACAGTTTTATGGGTTTAGCCTTCAAGATCGTCTACTCTAGTGTCCTTCTTACAACCGTTCAGCAACACCCTTTGGATTTTGGTAATGGTGTCGGTGCATGTGGTGGCACTGGTTCTGTATCTGCTCGATCGATTTTCACCCTTCGGCAGATTTAAACTTGCCAACACCGATGGCACCGAAGAAGACGCGCTTAATCTATCCAGTGCTATATGGTTCGCTTGGGGTGTGTTATTGAACAGCGGTATAGGAGAAGGTAAAGCTATGTCGTCTTTAATATTATTTAGAAAGAATACTTCAAGAAAAAAAATAATTCCACGGTTAAGTCGAAGAATGCATTGTACAATTTTTTTAAATTAATTAAACTTACAGGCACCCCACGGAGTTTTTCTGCACGTGTATTGGGAATGGTATGGGCCGGATTCGCTATGATCATCGTCGCATCGTACACTGCCAATTTAGCTGCGTTCCTCGTATTGGAACGGCCTAAGACTAAGCTCACCGGCATCAACGACGCTCGAGTAAAGATCACTAATTAGACTAATTACATTCTAAAATATTAAGAGTAATACGATTTGATACAAATATTTGTGATGTTTGTCTGTAAAGCTTAGAAATACAATGGAGAATTTGACGTGCGCGACGGTGAAGGGATCCGCTGTGGATATGTATTTTAGACGCCAAGTAGAATTGTCCAACATGTACCGCACGATGGAGGCGAATAATTATGACACCGCTGAAGACGCGATACGCGACATTAAAATTGGGTAATTATAATTCTTCTTTCTGGACCTAACGCTTAAAGTATTTCGATCATTTAATTTTTATTAAATTCTAAATCTACACCTTTAAAGTCTTGTGTCTCATTATTATAAATAAAGCTGAATTTACTGAATTACTTAAACATTGTTCTTTTTTCAGGAAATTAATGGCATTCATTTGGGACAGTTCGCGACTGGAATTTGAAGCGGCCCAAGATTGTGAATTAGTTACGGCTGGCGAATTATTTGGTCGTTCGGGATATGGAATTGGTTTGCAAAAAGGATCCCCTTGGGCGGACGCTGTAACATTGGCAATTTTAGATTTTCACGAAAGTAAATATATATCAGAACTTGATGCGATACATTTTATACGCGGTTTTCCATAGTTTTAGTATTATTATAATAAATTATAATTTTTACTGCACAATTGCCAAATGTTAATCTAAGCAATAATATAAAATTGAATCATGTAGCAGAAAATGCACTAAGTTTAATGTATTAATAATTTAACAATATTAACACGTGTCATATGGATAATAATATTTTTTTTAGGTGGTTTTATGGAAAGTCTCGATAATCTCTGGATCCTGCACGGTAATATTCAACAATGTGAACAATTTGAAAAAACGCCGAACACTCTCGGCCTGGAGAACATGGCAGGGGTGTTTATTGTCGTCGGCGTCGGTATCGGCGGTGGGATCGGTCTAATTATAATTGAGATGGCATATAAGAAACATCAAATACGTAAGCAGAGAAAGATGGAATTGGCGAGACACGCGGCCGACAAGTGGCGAGGGATGATCGAGGTAATTTCATCAATTCAATCAAGATACAATTTTGCTTAAAACTGCTGTCTTTGTTTCTCGAAATAATCATAGAAAATTCATATTTTAAAAGACATTCGATTCCATCTCACGCTCGTCGCATGAAATCTCACGTTTTTACGTGCACATCTCGTACATCTTTATTTCATAAACTATCGTATTCTGTTATGAACAGAAACGGAAAACACTGCGAGCATCGATAGTTACGCAGAGAAGAATTCAGAGCAATGGTTTGAATGATCCCGCGACGGTGAGCTTAGCGGTCGACACGGTCGCCAGATCGAATGCAGGTTCGCGTAGTCCAGGTCGCGCCTGGCCTGGCGACAGCGATTTAAGACAACGGCCGATTTCTCGTTCTGATGACATCCGATTGTCACCCGCCGCCTACACAGCCGATGTATCGCACCTTATAGTTTAACCGTATTAATTTGTAGTTTTTTATCAGGTAAGAAATGCTGTGTCAATCATTTCTAGTGAATTATTATGAATGAGACTCATCCCAGCCTTTCTCATAGCAAGATATAATCGAAAGAATATTCAATTAATTTGTTTCGTAATCATCGGATATAAGCGTGAGATATATTTAAGATGATTAATCGTCCACTCGTTAAATATTTATAGAACATTACAAATAATAGTATAAAAATTTTTTAAAATATATTTATTAATTTCTTTTTCGAGAAAATAAACAACGATTCACTAATGCTGTTTTTGGGTGTTGTATTAATAATTTATTAATAATTAATAATTAATGTATTAATAATTTACGTTAGACAAATGTAATACTTTTAATTAAGTTAATGTTAAAACGTAAGAATGTTTTAAATCGACTGTTATTTACTACTACAGAGGAATATATATATTGTGTTTGTTCTACATATTTATTGTAATAATATTACTACATATTTTTACCAATTGAAAAGTTATGTTAAAATATAACTGATTTATTTCGTGTAAAAAACTTTCTTCAAATCTTCAAACTTTCTATTTCTATAAAATTTTATTTTTATTATGATTTTCTCTCGAGTACTACAACCATTAAAAGACACTATCAATGCAGTAAATTTTACAAGAAAAAGCAATTAAACTTATTTTAAATTTGTTTGCTTTAATTTTTTTTTCTTTTCCTTTTTTTATACTTCAAATTAAACTTATCTCATTTTCAGAATAAAAAGTTATGTCGGGTATGTTTAGAACTTCATGAATTAATTAGAATACACCAGAAGTAATTATTGTTTTAAATAATGTTTTGAGAATAATGAAAAATTATTCTTATTTTATTCAATTACAAATTATAATTTTATTTTTTATTTTTATAAGCACAACATAAACAAATAGTGATAGATACATATAACAATGACCAGATGATAACAGAAATACGTACTACTTTGTAATTTTTATTCATTGTTAATAATGTTGGTGCTGATGTTAAATAAATTTATGGAAATAGTATGTCTCAAACAATTCGTATTCAATGCGTGAGGTAAAATGATAAAAATTGAATTTTGAATGAATTCAACTGATGACAATTAACAATATCCCGCTGTAGACGAGGGAGGTGAAGGAGTAGACGAAGGATATCACAGTATGATCGACGGATATACTGACGAAGAAGAATAACCTGCAGTTGAGCTTGATGAACTGTAAATAGATGCAGCGGAAAGAGATGTAAAAGATACAAAGTGACTTGGCAAATTCTATTATGCAGTGGGCATTCAACTAAAGGCACTGGCACTGGCCGAACTTGAAGCGGATGAAAAGCTAAAATCACCAGCTGGTCCGCTCAATTTTACCACACCAGATGGTATCGTCGATAAATTTGAAAGACCCAAAGAACCACCTGGAAAACTGGCAGGAAATGAGGAAGCGCCTGCACTTGATGTAGCTGACGATCCAGGAACTTGCTGCCCATAAGGTGGTAAATACGTGGGCCCGGGTGTCGATACTGCAGGAGGTTGACTTGAAGGAGGTAAATATGTGGCAGGTGGTCGTGTAGGTCGTGGCGGTGGCGGTGGTGGTCGCGGCCGAGGTGGAGGTAGATATGTGCGTCGTGTAGGAGGTGGTGGTGGAGGTGGAGGCGGTGGAGGAGG